TTACACTGAAACCGTGTACAACATGCATGTCATGTATTATGGCATGGGCGTAGGTTTGCATAGGGACCATAGGGACATGTCCCTTACCAAAATTTTGGACCGACCTACTTGTCCCCAGCAATAATTGGATGTGAACAACATGTTTATGATTTAAAATCCAGCGTTGTTGAAGCAGTGGTTTCTTTTCCTCTCTCAGCTTCTCTGCCTGGTAGCCGCAGCTGCCTGGTCTTTCCTTTATCTTTCACGTAGCAGCGCATGTAGCTGTGCTGCATTGTTTAACTCCACTCTCTGATTTTTCTGCCTTAAATTCCTCCTCTCTTTCTGGTTGCTTGTTTTCTAGTCTGTATGTGTGCGCGCGCGTCCTTGGAACGCAAAAAATATAAATAAATAATGACGCTAGAATACGGCAGTTACCAATATTAATATTAGGCTACGAAACTAGTCGCAATTAAAAAACTAAATATTATCTACACTAAAACAGGAGAAAGTTTCTGATTGCAGTTCTGTAAAGAAGCAGAGGAGAGTTTTGATTTGTGGAACTTGAGAAATGTAAGTAAGCAACGTTAGGATTTCTTTTATAAAACTAAATATTCTGAGCCAGGCAGGAGTTCTGAAGCTGTTAAAAAATGAACAAAGACTGTAAACTATCAACATTTCTGATTCCCTTTCACCAATATTTCTTTGCTATTACTGTTTTCATTTATGACTGCAGTTCAGGTATAAATAACAGCTGTTATTTCTTTTGTAGAACATAACAACATCGGAAGGATGTTGAAGATCTGCTATTTTTTGTTTTCCACATTAAAATAGTTCTATTTAATTGACTTCTACTTCTAGAAATAGGATAAAGATAAACAGAGGAACTCTATTTACACTGATTCTATTTTTCTAGATTTCCACATGGTCCATAAGTAAATCATTAATGTCTGGTAAATAATGTTTGAATCAGGCTGTTTATTATGGATACTATTAAATTACAGATAAGATAGTGGTATATTGTCTTTTATAATTGCTAAAACTGATTTTATATTTGAATAAACTTAGACTCATTCTTAGCGTTGTGTTTGTAGATGATGCCACTAAAAAAGAAAATAGATATAAGGAGCTATTTAAAAAGGCAAACAGTAAGCAATATAGGATGATGATAAAAGGTTATGTTACATTTAATCCTTAACTATTAAATACGCACTTGTATAATAGAAACATTATATGACTGTAGGAAACAAAGATATAATGATGCAGGGCAGCCTTCAGGGGAGGCAGCTGCCCTTCAGTGCTGTATGATGGAAGAAATGTGTTTGTAATGTTACCATAAAATTAGAGCTGCAACTAATGATATTTTTCAAATCGATTAATCTGTAAATTATTTTTTCGATGAATCGATTAATAATCAGATAGCACAAGGTTCTTTAAAGATTTTTTTTTTTTTTTTACAAAATTAAACCAGATGAAACAGAAACGTTTCCTCTTGAGGAGTTCTTGATGGAGAATATTGACAGAAAAAAAAAACTTTTTTTAATTTCTAAATGCAAAATGTTTACATATTTTTACAATGTTGGTATAATTCCTGCTCTAAGTGGGTTGCTCTGTCAGCTAAAGGCACATTTTAGTGGCCCTATACTGCAGTTAACAAATAATCAATTACTAAATTAGTTTATTCTTATTTAAATAATCGATTAATTTGAGTAATTTTTTCAGCCCTGATAAAATACATGAAATAGGCTACACAGGGTAACTACAGCCCAGATGTACAACTTGTATAGTGAAGGTAATATTTTAAATGCTAAGTGTCAGTATAGTTCTAGTGCATATGTAAATACAATACATTTATTTACCGTCCCATTAATGTATTATTTTGGTTGATACAGAGAGAGCATATTAGATAAAAAAAATAAGAGTAGTATTTACCTCTGCACAATTCTATATCTTCAAAAGAAAACACAGGAAAAATCCACATATAACAGACATATTTAGACTATATTTGGTTAAATAGGTACGTATTTACCTATTGTCTTTGTCCTAATTCCACATTCATCAGAGCCTGTGATACTTTAAACATTTAAAGTATCACTGGCTATGAACGGCATCTAGTGTGTGTAGTGCTTATAAGATTTGTATTAATGAAGCAACAAATGCTGCTGTTCTCTTTAAACAAAATGTGCCCTAATGCTCACATTAAGCATAAAAGAGAGCATGAATATTTTCCAAAGGACCAGTGACATCAGACTAATGAAACTGAAGACCAATAGTGTCCCTACCAAAGTTGAAATCAAACCTATGCCATAATACAAGGGCACAAGTAAAACTGTGTGAGTTTTTTTCAATAATTGCACCTCACTCTGTTCACAGCTTACGATGTATGTGCGACCCGATGCTCTGATGCAAACTACCTGCTCACACTGTTTGTCTAAAAAACAACATCGTACTCAGCTCCGCAGTGAGATGGCACTACTTGGACTTGTCTATCCGGAGGCTATATGAGTAGAAGAAAATTATGAAGCTCACTAGAGTGAAACGCGCTGTCTTGGCAATTTGTGCAATTTTGTGTGCTGAAAGCCCTAAAAGCAGAAAGCAAAGACATATTTGGACAAACACATGGCTGAGCAAACATGGCTACTACGGTCTGTGAATTTTACAGAAAGAACTCCATTTCACTTGCCCAGTCCCCAGCCCCCCCCCCCCCCCCCCCCCCCACCCCACCCCACCCCTCCATGCTTCTGTGTGTTTCATCGGAAAGTAAGAAGAAGAAGAAACCTTGTTTGCGAATTGCCACTGACAGATTTGCCCACAACGAAATCCAACATGTTTGATTTTCTCCCGACCTCACGATTCCTGATCGGGAGGTGGTCATGACAGGCTGATCACCCTTCATTACCCCCTGTACACTACACAATGCACGATCAGGCTGAAAGTCAGGCCGATCGAAAAATTCTCGCACAACTGGAAAGTTGCCCTGAAAAATGCAAAAAATCGCACATTGTAAGCCCAGTTTAAGGTGAAAACGTTTTTAAAAAGAATTCTGCAGTTCTGTGCTTTGACCAGAGGTGGCAGTATTATACAAAAAACTTTGTAATACCTCTTTATGTCTTGCTTACTTTAAACTCTCTAGATTTTTTTATATAACTTTATTTAGTGATTTCACATAACTGAAATGTTATGTTTGGTTGTCTTACCTTATTTCCAAAGGTTTCAATGCACAAATTTAAACTTTAACATCATGCTCATTTACAACAATAGGTCTTCCTCAGTGTCAGTGACCTGGACTTTGGGCAATAATTTCTCAATGTGATTTTTTACTTCGAGCTGTCCAGAAGTTGTGATCAAGCTTGTTTGCCCCATTTCAAAAGTGTAGACCCTGATGGCTTGCATGAATGAAAGGCAGAAATGTTTCGTTGGTCAAGTAAGATCCATATGCATGACAACATTCAGATTTTCCATCACAGCATTACAACAAGCACTGTACCATTAATCATGCTTCGTGCCTGCAATTCATGGTTTTATATTTTCTTCTTTTCTACCACAATATTATTCAACATAAATTAATCTGTAGCTCAACCTTAATAAAGGTTCTTATGGCAATGTGACATTCTGAAGTCTCTGAATTATAATTCACTTGATGTACCACTCACTCTGGAGCAAATGAAAAATATTTACTGCAAACACACCAGGGCTCTCTTCATCAATGTCAGGGGTATGTCTGAATCAAGGCCGTAAGTTTGATTTGAACTTTGGTAGGGACACTATTGGTCTGGTGTCATTGGTGCTATGCAATGTGCATGCCCGTTTTTTATGCTTGACGTGAGCATCCGTACTGATAAGAGGAATTCATTGTTTAGTGAGAAAAGCAGCATTTAGCTACATTAATAAAAATGTTATAAGCACTATACTCCCTAGATGCTGTTTATCAATGTTTGAAAGTATCACGGGCTCTGAAGAATGTGGAATTAGGACTGTTTTCCACTTTGAAAATGGTTTCATTTGAACGACTAAGACAGAAGGTAAATACAGTATTTTCTTTTGAAGATATAGAATTGTGCAGAGGTAAACCCTCCTCTTATATTTTTATCTACTATGCTTTCTCTGTATCAAGCAAAATAATACATTCATTTAAATATTAACTTATCTATAAAAGTTGAACATCTGGGCAGTAGTTACTCTGTAGCCCATTTCATGTATTTTATCTAGGGCTAAAAAATGAATCGTATTAATTGATTATTTTAATATTCGTCAATTGATTTAGTAAGTGATTTATCATTAACTCGGGTATAGAGACTCTAAAACATAATATAAATGGAAAATGTGCCTTTCCCAGACAGAGACACTTAGATCAGTAATTATACCAAAATTATTTTGTTTTGTTTTTTGTTTTTTTTGCATATAAGATAAATAAAAATGTTTTTGTCTGTTCTTAGTTTCACCTGGTGTACTGTCATTAATAATCTTCTTTAAAGAACCGTTGGCTATCCAATTAATCGATTCATCGAAAAAACTAATGACAGACTAATTGATTTCCAAAATAATTGTTAGCTGCTGCCCTAATTTTATCGTAATATTGTAAATGCATTTTTTACTAAATACATGTGAAGTGGAGATAACAGCAAACCAAACAAACATGTTAATCAGGTTAACTATATTAAAATCCATGTGGTATCATTTGTGAGCTTCAAAAGAGTTCACAGAATCCAATTACTCCTACTGAAAAAAATAAAAAATAAATAAAAAAACCCTAACCTGAAACCCTGAAGGTTTGGACACTTCTCTCTTTACCTGTGCTGCAACGTCACTGCTCATTGTTTGAGTTCCCTAAATCCAGCCATATTAAATACGAATTGATATTTATATTGTGTATAAATAAAAAAGGTGCTCCTTAATTTGTAATTAAAATCATTTAAACATCACCTGAAGCACTGAAGGGCCAGCTGCTTCACCTACAAGCTGTCCTGCATGATTATTACTGGATATCTGTGTTTCCTAAAATCATATAATGTATAAAAGTTGTTGGGATCTGGAGGTCTGTCCACTTTCTCCACCAGAGGGCGTACTAGATCTCCTGGAGCCGGAGTTGATTGCAACCACCTGACGCTCATCTGCTCATCAGGAGATCTGTATTTAAGGAGGCAGAGGACTTCTCTCCAGTGCCAGAGTGTTTGCCAGTTACGGTTAGCAAGCCTGAGCCAACCTGCCTGTCTGAATCTCTGACTCCCTGAAAACCAGAACCTGAACCTGATCTGTTTTCTCCTCTCTGCTTCCTAGATTGAACCTGTCTGAAACCTGAAACCCAAAAGAGTATATCTGCCGGTAATCTGCCTCTCTGTTCTCTGAAGAACCCTGGAGAACTATTCCCGTCAAAGACCTGCCTGCCCGCTCTCTGAAGAAACGGGAAGGGAAACTCAAATCGGTAATCTGCCAACACTCAAACCAAGCTCTGCCTCCACCTAGCCCTCAGCCTGCCGACAGCCTCTGGACCCTCAAGGTTCCCCCCTCAGCTGCTCAGCTCAACTCCTGTACAGGTACAGCCCTGCACACTCTCATCCTGCAAATTACCTGGACCTCCTCTAACTCCTCTGTCCCCCTCTGCAGTGAACCCACTCGTGACCAGTCCTGGACCTGTTAACTCTGTGTGCATTTCAGAATCCACTCGTGACCAGACGAGTTCCCCTTGGGATCTGTTTATTCATTGTATTCCATCTTCTAAATAAACATTTGAACTTTTATTCAGGAGTGTTCTGCATGTGGGTTAGGCAACTGAAGCCAAACATGACAAAAGTGTGTTTTTAATATAAAAGGATTAAATGAAACAATCTTTTATATCATCCTATGTTACTTACTGACTGACTGTTAAAATAGCTCCTTGTGTCTATTTTCTTATCTACAAAGCACAAAACTAAGAATAAGCCTAAATTTATTCAAATATAAAATCCCATTTAAGGATTATAAAAGACAATATAACACTATCTTATCTGTAATGTAATAATATCCAAAATAAACAGCCAGAATCAAGCATTATTTACCACACATTAATGTTTGTATTAATTTACTTATAGACTGTGTGGAAATCTATATAAGATGAAATCAATGTGAATGATGTTCCTCTATTTGTTCTTGTCTTTATCGTATTTCTAGGAATAGAAATAATCAATAAAATAGAACTATTATTATGTGGAACCCTAATTATGCTTCTTAAACAAAAATAGCAGATGTTTAGGCACCATCTCTTGTTGTTATACTCTATAAAAGAAATAACACCAGCAAATAATTATACCTGAACTTCTTCAGAGTCATCATTAAATGAAAACAGTAACAGCAACTAAATATCAGAATATCAGAAAAAGGAAACCCTCAGATTTCCTTTTTCAGTCGGCTGTGGCTAAGAATCAGAAATGTTGATAGCTTACAGCCTTTATTTGTCCATTTTTCCAGCAGTCTTCAGAACTCCTGCCTGACTCAGAATATTTAGTTTTATAGAAGAAAATAAAGGTTTTTGTTTTATAGCGTGAAAGATATTCGGTTTTTTAATTGGGACTAGTTTTGTAGCCTAATATTAATTGTAGTAGCCGCGGTATTCTTGCGTGAATACATTTTCAATTTTGTGCCCCAAGCACACACAGACTGAAAAACAAACAATCAGAAACAGAGAAGGCGGAACTTAAGGCAGAACAACCAATGATAGTGGAGTTAAATAGCGAAGCACAGTGCACTGCTACGTTAAAGGGGCAGGAGAAACAGGCAGGCGCTCAGACGGAGCTGCAGCAGCAGCAGCAACCAGGCAGGCAGCTGTGAGAGGAAAAGAAGCGACTGCTGCACCAAAAAAAAATTATAATTTTAAATTATAAACATGTTGCTCACATCAAATTATTGGTAGGGACAATTAGGTCGGTTCAACATTTTGGTAGGGACATGTCCCTATGGTCCCTATGCAAACCTGCTAACCTACGCCCATGGTCTGAATAAAGCATAAAATTCACCTATGTCTGAGTCACCATCACTCATACTTCTGAGAACCAATACCTGAACAGGTAAAGCCATTAATGTGAGATGTCCTATATTAGAAAACAGGTCCCTATAATCTGTTATACTGGATACAAGAGATGCATGTTTTCTGTACTCCTAAGCTACGCTCCAACGGGAGCATTTTAATCTATATTTGATTAGATGAATTACCTTTCAGCTTTGGCATGTTAGCATGTCAGCAAAAGTTACCATGATATTTCAGAGTGTTTAGCCTTAGCTGATGTGATGGATATATTGTACTTACTATTTTACTTTATTTAATGCTATGAATAAAACCGGCAGCAGAACCAGAAACAAACAAGGACGGTCAGTAACAACTGACACAGACAAGCTATTAATTAATTTCAGCTCTGATCGTGCTTAAGTTTCCTAAATACTTCAGATGTCTTTGGATGTTGGTGACTGGATTTTGTGCTGCTAGAGAGTAATTGACATATTTGACTGTATGTGTGGATGATCTGACCATGAGCACATGGAAAGTGGTAAATAACTGAAAATAATTCCCTTATATCAGTTGTGTTTTATTCTTCTTCAATCTTAGACTTTAAATAATTGAGCTCCATCTCAAAATAAAAAATGTATTTAGCCGAACCTTGGCAAAGAAAGTCTGAATGATGATCTCAGTGCAGCTCTTGGCTCATAGACTGCAGGTTTAGTCATGGCTCTTTGAGTTTTTGGTAAAGTTAATAATCATCTATATAATCATCAGAAAAATGTCCTTTGTGACTCCTCTTACTTTTTGCACTACCAGATAATACTGGTAATAATAATATATTTCATTAGGTTGGATTTGTCCTCATAACATTACATATCAGTATGCAGTGTTGTGCCTGAACGCGTTCATTGAACGAAAGTTCATGAACTCGTTCATATTTTGGGCGAACGTGAACTGAACGTACTGTATTACTCCCTGATGAACGTTATTGTGAACTCGTTCATTCTGGTGTCTGTGAACGGCACACTCTCTCAGTTCAACTCCGTTCAATAGGTTGCCAGATTTCTATAGAACCCTCCAGGCGAAACCCCTCTAAATCACACCGTAAACAGGCCTTAATATTTAACAGGAAAAACACCCAATCTGGCAACACCAGCTACCAGCGTCGTAGCCTACAGCCGCGTGCGTCATCAAAACAAAATGCAGCGTGGAAGCCACAGCAGCGTGGAGGCTACCGTGGAGGCGACAAAGCAGCAGTACGATCACTTAAAACAGTTTTATGACCAGGTGGTCGGTGAGGACGATGGCAACAAGTTTGCCCGCCGGCTTTCAGTAAAAAAATCCGCACTTCAGTAACCTTAAATTTCTACCTCAGCCTGGTCCCTCAGTTTGTGTTAGTAAAATCTTCTTGAGCGGAGGTCTTCAACAGGGGATCCGCGACCCCTAGGGGGTCTACGGAGGTACTGCATGAGGGTCTGCATGGTTAGTTGATATTTTTTATATTCCCCCCCTGCAATTTTTCCCCCACTAATTGAAATGTCTTTAAATACTCATTAACATGAAATCAACACACTGTAGTAAACAGATAAATGGAGACAAAAGATGTCTTTCAGTCATCAATGCACACATTCAGCAACACACAGGAGCTCTTTCAAGCTGGGCACCGTTTCCTTCACAACAACCAGGAATCAGAATCAGAAAAACTTTAATAATCCCAGGGAGAAATTAATTTCTTTACATTACTCCATCTGTAATAGAGTGACTATAGGACACAATTTCATACAATATATATAGTTAGGGGGCCATCAGTTTGGGGGTCCTTGGTCTGGAAAACATAGAAGACCCCTGTTCTTGAGGGTTTTACTATCCATGTAACTTGTTTGTTAAACCTGCCTGGTATAATTTTCCAGGATTCCAGTATTCCTTTTTAGTATGTATTGAAATGGAATTTCAAATGGAAAAAATTATTAAAATAAAAAAAAAAAACATTTGCACCTAAAGACTACTTTCCTATTTTTCTTTTAATAATTACTCATAAAAAAGACCATTCAAGCAGCACATTTTTCCTGATGTTTTTGAGAATATACTGTAGGGGTGAAAGCTGCAGCTGCTACTAGTGTGAAGTGAATGGACAGCAACAAAGCATTAAAGCAACAATGGGGAAATGCTGTCCCCTCAATGCTAGTGTAAATCCTGGTTGGATAAGGATTCAAAACTGGATAGGAAGATGAAATCTGACGCACAGTTTCAGAGTTATAACTGATAAAATAATTGCTGTCTGTGGTTCTACAGTAGGCTATGGTGTAATTGAGCAATATATGAAAAAAAAAAAGAACTATGAACTAGTTCATTTTTTGGCTTTGATTTATGAACTATGAACTGAACTAGTTCATTTTAAAATGTGTGAACTGAACTTTGAACTAGTTCACGTAGAAAGAGAACTTTCCCAACACTGTCAGTATGACTTATTTGTCTTGGGCACCCTAAATAAATATATATATATATATATATATATATATATATATAGAATATATTGGATATATTATATTATATTATATTGGATTGGCCTGGGACTCTTTTTATAATAGTATACATTGCCATAATATTGTATTAACAGACTGGATTATTTCTAACAATCCCCTAAATGACCATTTGCACTGTAAAAATAATTAGGGTGGTTAAACTTAAAAACTTGAGTTAAGCAGCTGCCTTAAAAGCACAAGTTAACACAACTTGAAATAATGTTTTTTTCCAACTTAGGATGGCAAGCTAGAAAAGTAGCTCAATTGCTGATAATTCATTGATTAAATATGATACCATGAGTTGAAATGACTAACTATAGAACATTATTCATTCTTTATAAATTGAGTACTCTTGTCAAGTAAAATTACAATCATATTCTATTTGAACTCAAATAATTAAGGTATACCACTTGTCTAACTAATGACTACTAGTTGTATGAACTTCATACTCCAAGTTTAAAGGCCTTGCAAAGTTAAGTTATCCATTCAAAAAAACTTGTTTTATTTTGTTGAAGTAGCAAACAATTATATATACTTTCAACTCTCATTTTAAAGTTAAACTGACTAACTGTATTCATACCAATTCCCTTTTTGAGTTAATTTAACTCAAGAGTTTAAGGCAGCTACTGAACTTCAAATTGCAATTTAAGTAAACTAACATTTCCAAATATTGCTCACTTTCTCCACTAACAATGCCAAGTTTACCAGTTTTCTAAAAATAATTACACCAATACGCTTCCATTTCAGATTATACATTTTTCTTTCTCTATCAAATATGAGACAAGCCTTAAATCAAGTGTAAAAAGAAAACATTTTTTCGAGACAAGCAGAAGTTTTAACATTTATTGAAGGACCAAAGCAGAAATAAATTTTTTGACAAACAGAAATATTTTTTTATATAAATCTCAATAAATGCACTTAAAAGGCACCAATTATGAACTCTACCTAAAGTTTTATTGTAAAAAATTTGTGAGGTATGGTGCATTTTAAGTGCATTTTATTGGCGAGTTTCAGTCCTCCATATAGACCATTATTTTACAAAACATTTTAACCACGTTGAACAGTAGCAGTCCAAAGTCAATACAACTAGCTACCATCTCTCAAAAACAGTCCAAAAAGTGCAAAATGATCAGTGTTTTAACAAACTCACAAAAATCCTGAGAGGTTTTTCCACAGATTCAGCACAGTGCTAAATGTTTTAGTGCATAACCATTAGTATTAACATTTAGTGCATAGAACAAACTGA